CCCCCCCCCCCCCTTGATGTTGACGACCTCTTCTGCTGTTTGCGGTGCTCGCCTTGGTTGTTGGCACGATGTATGGCCGTGGTAAGACAGCAGTGGATGATGTGTTGACGACGGGCACGAATGTGAAATGACGATCGATGTCGGCGAGTGTTGATGCGGGGCCTTAGCCCATCTACTGCTGTAGAACCCAGGCCCCACGCGGCCAGGCAAATACTGCACGCTAGCTACAGTAGTTTCTTTCGTAAGGCTTCTCGAACTCATCGGCAGAATGAGTCTGGCCTGGGTGAGGCCACATGAACATACGTTTGTGACAGTGGGCGCATTTTTTGAGGCAGCAAGTATTGTTTCCTGCTATGCGTGCAGGCGAAGCGGCGTCCAATCGCGCGCGTGTTGTCGCCCGGTGCGATGCAATCACGAGCGATTTTATTTGTCTCTTGTTCTCCGTTATTTAGTCGGATACCCCGCGTGCTTGCACCCCCCTAGCGAACGCCGCCAGCGTCGGTTCGCAATCGTCCTCTCGGTGTCGGTTCGCAAATCTCAGTGTCGGTCCACAACGCCCTCCCGGGTCGGTTCACAACGTCTCCTGGTGTCGGTTCACAACGTCCTCGCAGTGCCTCACCATCATTACCCTACCCTCCATGGTCTAACAAGTAAGGCATGAAAAACGTAAGTACACCTCCCCCCCCCCCCCCCCCCCCCCCCCCCCCCCCCCCCCCCNCCCGCCGCCGCCGCAGTAGAGTTTTTACTCCTTGTCAAGGACCTCTTATCCCTCCTACACACTCGACTTGAACCACGTATGTATGCCTCCCCCCCCCCGTCAATGACAAAACAAGGTCGGTGTTCTACAATGACCTCTTCGCGTTCGATATGGAGCGGCGGCGTTGGTACCACCTAGCACTGAAGAAGGCAGGCAAGAAGAAGGCCAAGGAGAAGGGCAGGGGAAAGCACGGGACAGCAGGACCTGAACAGGTTTGTTTGTGTTGCTACATTGCGGCACAGAAGATCGGTTTCTCTATTGCTTAAGGTTTGGTTTTTCTAGATATTTTAGTCAAATGTTATTACCCCCCGTGACAACATTGTGCGCAATGTGGGAAACGAAGATCATTAGAAATTGACAGGAAGCATCGTTGAACGTTTTTGGACTTGTTTTCCTAAGAGCTTTGGTACCCTCGTGAGTTCTTGAGATAAGAATACGTAGCTTAGTTTTATCCTGTAACCACGAGAAATCATTGTTTGCCGTGAAAAGAAGAATGAAGTGTAGCGAATTGAGGAGACGGACAGACGTCAATGAGGAAGATTGACTATGAAGACGAAGGACAACGCAAGCCCAAGCACGTGGAGGGGCCATAACATTCGCGTGTCTTTTTTTGCGACTCCGCTGGTGCATGGGAGTTCTGTACTTTTTTCTTTTTGTAGGCTTCGGAAAAGGGCACGAGGAGAGGACTGCATTGGCATGGGCATCGCTCACGCTGTGCCGAATAGCATCACAAGATCACGCCGCCTCCACCCCCCTAGCGCAGCACCGTCGACGATACGTTTTGTTTCATTCTAGAGGCAAGCCGGCGAAGCTCAACACGCACGACCAGGCAGAAGGAGGGCTGCATCGTGAGCAAGCATTTCCCGTTGTTCGAGAAATAACACCGAAAACTTCAGGAACACAACCCCGAAAACCACCATGTGCATTTCGTAACGCTCCTGTTTTGAGCTTCAGGCGCAAAACGACGACCAGCAGGAGGAGGAAGAAGAGGACTACATCGACAGCGATGACGAGCGGGAGGATGGCGAGAAAGCCCCGCACGAGAACGCCTTCGTGTACATCGACGAGTCCGGCAAGCTGGTCTACGTAGAGCCGGAGGAGGAGGAGGAGGGCGGGGAAGGCGACGTCAAGGGTGGAGGAGTGGCGGCGGGTTTGGAGGAGAAAGAATCCGGTTTGGAGGAGAAGGAGGAGAAGGAGGTGGGGACAACACAGCGCCAGGACTCTTACGGTCCCGTACGTACCCCGTACACATCCAAGGAAACGTGGACCCCCCACCCGTCGTTGTGTCACGATTGTTGTGTGTCAGTCGTGAAGCAACCCGCGTGATACGGGGAAGCGAATGTTTGTGGTCGACTCGGTTTGATTTTGCCGATGGTCGTTACCCCATTTATGAACACGACAACAAGGACGAACACACACACATGTGTCGTGTCACACGAGTTGTCGTACACGAGCGGGTACGTTGCTGCAGCGAAGCAGACAGGCTCAACAGCTTGTGGATGTCGTGAGCAAACTGCTTATGTAGGGTCAGTCGCTCTTATTTGCTTCTTTGTTGCTCCACGCCATAGCTAATTTGGATCGCTCTTTTTCGTTTTTTTTTTCCCACCCTATGGCTATTTTTTTTCTCCTTGTTTTTGCCAGGAGACGAAGGACGAGAAGGCTCACGCTGTTGCAGAGGAAGTACCTTCGGCCACTACGGCAGGCGACACATGTTCATCTCAGCAAGCGCTAGGTGGATTGGAAGAGAAGCACGACGACAAAGCAAGAGCGGACGGTGTCGCCCCATCCCCTGCTGTCGATCCCGCCGACGTTCACGTCCAGCTCAAAGTCCAATCGGGTTCGACGGCAGATTCGGTGCCGGATGCCGGGGATGACAAGGGAGGGGATGCCGAAGAAGCGTCCCCGTGTCCATTGCCCCGCATTAATCCCTGCCTCACCGTGCGGGGCAACACTCTTTACGTCTACGGCGGGCTACTCGAGGTACTTTTCTACTGTGGGGGGGGGGGGGGGGATTTT